AAATAAAAAAAATCTTGCCTATTTGACAGACAAATCATGATTTCTATTTTTTTAATTTATAATTCTTTGGTAACTAGGGAGGCTGAACAATTTTTATATGTTTACTTATGACCTTATACAGTACTTATAAAATTATCAACAGAAAGACTTCTAAACGAAAAATAAAAAATCCTTTTGGGACTAGCTAACTTGGAGGATCTACATCTTTAAGAAAGTTATTACTGTACCAAGCACAGGTGTCTCATGCCTGTATCCTAGCTATTTGGGAGGCAGAGATGGGGGAGGATAATGGTTCAAAGCCAGCCCAGGGAAATAGTTTGTGAAAAAAAAGAAAGGACTGGTAGAGTGACTGAAGTAGTAGAGCATCTGCCTAATAAGCATGAGGCTCTGAGTTCAAACTCCAGTGCCAAAATAAAAAAAAAGAAAAAAGTTATTACTGTAATATAATGATAGGTATTTCTTGGTTACCCTTGAACATAGTTTTTATTTCCCATAGTTTTTGTTAGAAATTTTTGGAGGACCCTTGAATCTGATGAAAAACAATTTAATGATGCAAATAGTGAATAATTTCTTTGATTTTTTAAAAATAAAAGTTAACCTATCCTATGATTTGTGACTGTGATACCACATTACATACATACCATGCCACTTTCCCTTGTAGACTGTTCCAAATGACCCGGATCCAATTCTTTGTCCCACGGTAATCTGTCCATCAGGAATTTCCCAGTCATCACTTGAATCCCGTCTACCAAGTGTTTTCTTGATAACAATAGTGCAAAAGTCAAGCCAAATCAAAAAAAAGAGGAAAATCTTATGTTTCATGCTAAGCCTATTAACCTATGCCTGACAGACATAAGACAGGAAGACAGTAAGTTCTCTTTAAAAGAAAACACACTGCAGGCTGGGGGGCATGGCTCAAACTGTACGTTATCTGTCCAACAAGTGCAAGGCCCTGAGTTCAAACCTCAGCACCAACAAAAAAAACAAAAACTAAAAAACAAACAAAAACCACAGAAAGAACAACAGTTAAAAATATGACTTAAAACATAAAACTTAATTTAAGACAAGTCCATATTAGAAGGAAATAATTTTCTTTTTCAATATTGGGGTTTGAACTCAGGGCATGACTAGCAAACACTCTACCAGTTAAGCCACATCTTTAACCCTGGATGTAGTTTATTAAAAAACAGAAATTATTTATTCAGTATGTGCAAAATGCATATTACTAAAATCAAGAAAGCAAAATAGCTTTCTATCATTTGGAAGACTGTTGGGGCAAGGTAAGTACTATCCAAATGCCTGAAAATTCAACATGTTATGGTAACTGCTGAGAATGTGTCTAGTTATTCTTTTCCAGTCAATGCTGAATTTTCTTATACATCTTACCGATCTGGTATCCAACATATACAATTACTTTGGTAGGGTAAAGGACCATCTATCCAATGAGTTGCAGAAAGTTAATTTTTTAAATAAGGGAGCTTGCCAGTTGGTAGGTAGTTGGATTTTGAACCAGTCTTTAGAGCACACATGCTTAATTATGCTTTCTAAATACTTATTTACTCTTTTCGCTTATTTTACAAAGACAACATTATTGTTTTTCTTCCAAAATGGGCTTTTACAAAGTTATATTAAATAGAGCAAAAGCCAGTGTTATGGGACTATGCTTTAAGCAAAAAGCTATCAACTTTTAAATTTATTTGATTATGGGAATTTTGCATCACATATAGATATAATATATACAAAAGGTAATAGTGAATTGGGTTACGATTTCTTAAAAAGACATCGTATGTTCTTACCATTCGATTTCTGTCCTCTGAGGATGAAGATGACTTCCTTTCCCGCTGAGGTCCTGGAGATTTCTGTAAGGCTTTCACATTAGTAAGTGAGCCAGGTAGTGAGGCAGGCGGGGTGGCAGACAAACCTGTGGTTGACCCTAAATTAGAGAAAGGAAAAATGTATCCTTTGAGGAAGAACAAGCATGCTCACTTATTAGTGACATAAAGTGGGAGAAATCTAGACTTATTTTAAAATATAGTGCGTGTTCAAATATTGATCTTTTAGAAAGGCTACGCCAAAAAGAGGCCTCGTTTGTGATTTCTACTATAACTTCTTTTAGTTTTCTGGCCAATTTAATGACCTTTAAGATAGCTAACAATGTATCTATACTTTGTTTACTGGTACAAAGTCTAGAAAAAAATCTCTAAATCAAGATATAAATATACTAAACAACACTCCCAAGATTCTGTGTCTATAACAAAAAAAATTAAAAAGCAAAATCAATGTAAAAGCCTATATAGCCAGCTTTTATTATTATGTCACTAGCCAATCAATAGTTTAAAAAGATGGAAACCCCTAAGTTGAGGTATTTTCTAGTAATGGCCCTAAAGTTAACGATATCTTGCTCCTTCACATTAGCCACTAAATTTAAGTAGAATCCAACTATAAATTCTATCGCTTCCATTTATGTATATGTAATGTATATTAGGATGTGAAGTTTCCATGATCTTAAACGCTATTTTCTAAAAGAAAATGCTGTTCAGAATGTCTTTAACTGCTTGTTCAGGTATCATAGTTCTAATCTATGAAATAATGTATTATTTAGTATAATTACCTTACTGAGTACTGAATGACCTCCTCCCATTCTGTGGATTTTCTGACAAATAGCTAGGTTACCAGAGCTAAAATTTAAAACACCACTACTACATTCAGAATAAGTATTAGTAACTTACTAGTAGCAAGAGTTAATGAACAGGATTCTTTGAAAATATTTAAAATAAGACCTGTCCCAGTTTTGTTTTTAAAATTTAAAAACTGGTTTAACAACTAGCTAAAGAATGACAGGATAAAATGGAAGAGTAAAATTATACTGGTAACATTTTTCTCACAGTAGGGTATAATTAAAAGTATAAATCCTCAAATTTTCCAAATCGATTCATGTTATAAATTAAAATTTTATTAGCAATAAATGAAATATCCAAAATATATTATATGTATTTTTAAACAACTCCCTACTTATGACACATAAAAAATACACACCCATATTAGGGGAAAAAATAAAAACAAAAAACATGCTGATATAAAATCTTAAAAAAGAAAAAAAAAAAGCCAAAGTCTCATAAAAATCTTTTAATAGGGGTTTCCATTTACATTCTTATTTTCTTAAAAACCAAAAAAATTGTTAACAAATATTAGTACTCATCAAGATTATCTCTTAAATGAATTAAAAGGAATGCAGACTAAAGACCCCCCCCCACCTTATTTATCAAACCAAGAAGAAATAAGACAACAGAAAACAAGATGGAAATCTTAACTCAGAATTTTCTTGCTTTTAAAAATTTATGACAAACAGCATACAGAAAGGTTGTAGTAGTGAGTATGTGTGAGAAGCACATTCACAGCATTCCAGCCAGGCCAAGCAGAAATTCAGTACTTAAAACTCTCACGCTTACAAACACACGCTGTGAGGGTGAAGCACAAACAGCATCTACAGATGCTTATATTTAGTTTGCTTTGGGTGAAAACAAGAAAGAAGAGCCCAACTACCTCTGAACACTGGGCCAGGCTCAAAATCAAACACTATTTCACTGGGGACAGAATGTAGGAGGGGGCTGGGAGTCCGGGATTGGTATTTCCGAAGACAGCGCATCAGCTGGTTCAAGGGGGCTGTTAGAAGAGAAAGAGAGGGGCAGGCAAACACAGGAAGACAGACACACAGAAGAAATGAAAGAAGTCATGGGGAATAAATAAGATGAACTGAAGCCTGCTGCACAAAATAATTCTGGACGTTCAAAAGAAAAAAACCTTTTTATTTTCATAAAATCCCAATGATTTTTTAAAAAGTGACTCATAAAAAAAGGATAAGAAATGCCACTTGGTTTGAGGTACTAAGCAGGCTGTGTTTATGCCTAAATGAACTGTGATGCTAACATGATGGCAACATTAAATGCTGGATGTACTGGGCAGAATTATCAGCAGCCATAGCTACTAGGACATATGAAAGTCAAACTGGCAGCAACATTAACTGGCGGGTTCATGGAATAACAAACAGAACAAAAATCCTTATATAACTATATGCTGTAGTAATACTAAGTCCAGATAATAAATTCAGATTTATTATTTTGGTAGCTTCACGGGTCTACAGCAACATAACAAAAGATGGTTTATACAATGTTTACTCAATACCATTGAGTCTGGGCTTAGATACTTTGAAGATACAGAAGGTCACAGAGAAGAAATTAACTCTAAGCAAGATAAGCACTTAATACTGGTCTTCGTTATTAGACTGAAGACAGCTCAGAAAGTAAACACAGACGACCTCCTGCAAGAAAACTTCAAAAATAGTCTTAAATACCATCTTTGGAAAACATTATATAGAGTAAATTATTTTTGGGCAGTCCTGGGGTTGGAAATACTTTGTGCTTATTAGGTAGGTACTCTATCAGCCCTGGATAAATTCTTATAAAAAAGTACTTTCATAAGCAATGCTGTCTTTTTTTTGGGCACTACTGGGGTTTAAACTAAGGTACTTCAGCCACACTCCTAGCCCTTCAATGTTGTCTTTGCTAGAATGAATGATACTAGGTGAAAATTCTGTAAGAAAACTCTGTTCAGTTTTTTATTTGGGTATCTTATTTACTAGCTTAATAAGAGGGCCACTAAGGTTTTCCCGTTAGGGGTCCATTCTATAAAATGTACATTTCAAATACTTCTAGAAGGTTGAAGAAAAGGAGCTGATAAAGTTTGACAAACCATGAAGCTATGGCAGGCAATTCAAGGAAGTCTCCCTAAGAATGATTTAGCACAGTCAAGTTTTACCTGATTCTAAGCTCTACCTTTAAGTATCAGTGGAGATTCCCAAAGAAAATTTAGCAACTCTAGCTGTATTGATATGGCAGAAATTAACAAAGTGGGTAAAATAATTAAGGACCTTTCTCTGGTAGATGGTACATTTAAGATTCTCTTTTATGTCTTCTCATTTTCTCTACTCATGTTATGAATGAGTTAAAATTTTATTGCCAATAAATTACATTGTAGAAAAATTTAAAAATCGGGTTTTCTCTACACATTTTTCTCTGTGTCTGTGTTTCATGAAAAGCAAGTATAAAGGAGACAAGCAGCAAAGCAATTGCATTTTTCCCTGAGGTTTTTGTTTTTTTCAACTGAAGTCACTACTTACCTCCATCACCACGAAACCCTTGGTCTCTAATCAAATCCTACAAATAAATAGTAAAGTACATTTATTCAACGCACATAATAAGAGAGTAATAAGAACACTGAATTTTCCACTATACATTAACAGAAAGGTTAATTCAAAATAAAACCTGTCTCAATTACTTCACAAAACAAAGACTATAAAATTAGCTAGTGTACATGATAAAATCTAAATTTTGAAGTATTTGCCAACCTAACCCTATACTGAAAGGATTAATAGTCCTGATCAATTGTTGAAATCCATTTCAGGCCATTCAATGGCTTCATCAATCCTTAAAGAAAATTCTACTGGCACATATTAAGAGCCATAAAAATGTTCATACCCTTTGATCCTGTAATTCCACTTCTGGGAATTTTTCCTAAGGAAATAATTCAGAAGAAAAAATGATATGCACAAAGATGTTTAGTGCAGCATTATCCATCAAACCAAAAAAACTAGAAATAATTATTCCCCTTTATAGGCATTTTCACAAATTATGGCAGAGTCAAGTCATGGTATATCAGTTTAATGAAGTATTATGCAGTTAACAAAACAATTATGAAACCTGAATCATGAAATATGTTTACAATATAAAAAATACAAAATTAAAAGTACATTGAATATCATCAGAAAAATGGATACACGAGAACACAAGAAAGGAAAAAAATCAAAATAACTCAAATGAAGAATTTGTTAAAATTGGTCTTTGTTATTTAAAATATAGGTTTTTATAGTACTGTTTGTAGTGGGAGAAACTCTACTAGTAATGCCACTTGGACCTTAACAGGCACAGTTTGGATTAATTTATTTACTCAGCATAACTTAACTGTGAGGGATTGATTGAATGGCCCCAAATGTCTCTAATAGTCTTCTTGCAAATGGATAGTTATTTGCTCATTGTCTTAAAATAATAGTAAATTCTTCACAGGTGTGTTTCTATCCTGTTCAATGTATTACATAAAGCCTTTGACATTTTCTATAGAATAATCAACAATTATATAACATCATACTAAGTGCTAGATGTTAGAGGCTGTGTGGCTACCAATACATATAAAATCTTGGTGGTCTGACTACTATTATGTGGTTTTGAGAAGACACACATGAAAATTAAATGATATATAATAGAAGAGGTATCAATTTGTTGCTAAGTTATTGCAACAAGTTATCACAAATACCTAAGTGGTATTGGTGACAAGATTTTTATTAGTAACTATAGGGTTTGGCAACCCTGATGCTGGGCTTCCAGCCTCCAGAACTATGAGAATTTGTCACAGCAACACAAAAGTAACTAGTAACGATACGATTTGGCTTTCAGTGAAGCAGTCGAAGAAATGTCTTCGAGTTGGGCTTCGAGCAATAGATAAAAGCGTGTAGAAAAGCAAAGGAAGGGCCTTGCAGACAGAGGGGCTCACACGAGAAAGGCCACGACCTTGTACTTTTTCTGTACCAGCTCTGAAACGCCTTGTAACTATACAATGACCAAATTTGGCTTTCTCCAGTCTTACAATCTATCGCTAACAACATCACGTGTTTTCAATCTCAATGTGTTCTTAAAGCTCTTTGCCAATCCTTCTACTTATTTTAGGTTAAATAAGATCTTCTAGCATTCCAAAACTGGCTATTTCAAATCTTTTCCCACTCTCTTATAGTTAGTTTCTCTTCTTACATCCCTCCCCTTTTGCATGATAAAGAAAACAGAAACAATCAAAAAACTTTCCATTCTGCCCCGTATCTACAAATATTTGCATAGTAATATTAGCTATAATTTCTAAAATCTCATGTATCAGACATAAAAAGCATTTTAAAACACTACAGGAGGTATAGAATATTAACCTCAGTCTGTAAAGAGCTAAATCCATGTTTAGCTCATAGCCTCTGTGGGACATCATTTTCAAGTTCAAGGAACCTTACTACATTCGTTATTGTATATTTTTAACCTTTAACCTTTCTTCATCGGTGGTTTTTTCTTCACCCGTCACAAAGTCTGCTGACAAGTGCTTATCAGCCCTGAATCAAGTTACAGTTCTTTTGTCAATGCTTTATAGCCAAGCCTCTTGAAATTGAAAATCATGCCTATATTTTCTCACCTGTCTTCCTCTCCTTTACAAAGTCAAAATGACTTTTTTTTTGTTAGTGGTACTGGGGCTTGAACCTCTTTTTGTTTTTGTTACTGGTACTGCAGCTTGAAGCAAGTCTTCACCCAAGTTAGGCAAGTGCTCTACCCCAGCTCTCTGATAATACTTTAATTGTCAAAGATAATAGTTACTTTAGTCCTTTTCTCATTTGAGTCTTAATGGTAAGGAGCATCAACTACTTGAGCATTTTTAAAACCCCTTTTCTCCCTTTGGTCTCTGCTCTTCATTATCTGAGGCTAGGCTTAGGAAGAAAAGTCCATAAAGGTGACAAAAGAGAGCTGGGAGTGTGTGACTAAAGTGTAGAGTACCTAGGGCATGAGGTATGGTTCAAGCCCCAGTACCACTGGGGTGAGGAAGAGGTGACAAAGAATAACAGTCTCTGCTTCAGTGTTTTAAAAATTATTTTATCTACCTATCTGTCTATTGGTGGTACTGGGATTTGAACTCAGGGTTTCACACTTGCTAGGCAGGCGCTCTACCACTTGAGCTACTTCGCTAGCCCTGTGCCTTTAATGTTAATATTCACCAAGTTTTTACCTGTTTTCAATTTACATATGTATGTATGTGTGTGTATATATATACATGTATATGTATATATATATATATATATATATATATATATATATACACATAGTACTGGGGACTGAACATAGAGCCTTGTGCTTGCTAGGTAAGCCTTCTACCACTTGAGCTATGCCATCAGCCCTTATTTATTTATTTATTTTTGTTTTTGAGATAGGGTATCACTGATTTTGCCTAGGCTGGGTTCAAATTCACAAGCCTCTTGCCTCTCTCTCCTTCTGAGTAGCTGGGATTGTAAAGTGTACACTAACATGCCCAACTCAATTTACACATACTCTTTTAAGTGATACCATTTATGTCTATGACTTTATGACTGACATAAATATATTAATTTACTTTGAAATCTGTATCTCTATTTGAAGTCATTATATTCAACTACTATTGGACTTTTAAACCTGAAAATCTCACAGATATCCTATAGTCAATAATGTCTAAAAGTTAAAAGTTACCAGTTTTGTTTCAACAAACCGTGCTCTGGTCTATAAGCCAGGGATCTATGAGCCAGAAACCTGGGTATTATTCTGCCTCTCCTCTTTTTCCTTTCTCTTCTACTGCTATTCAGCATAGAGGGTAAGCCTAAGAAAGGAAGGCCACATTCAAGTGACTGAAACCCATGTCAGTCATTTATCAGCTATGAAATTGTGGGTTCATTTCTTCACATCTGCAAATCTAATTGGCTAACAGTAAAATAAAGATAATATAACACTTAATCCATGTATTTTTATGAGGTTCAAACAAGATAATTTATTTAAAGCACACAGTTAAATACTCATGAATAGCAGCAGCTTTCAAGATTCCTAAGAGTCTTACTAATTCACTAATTTATAGTCTCCCTTCTTTTAATTCATTCATTTTCTCTCTTGCTATCAATGCTACTACTTGAGTAAACATTTATCATCTTTTTTCCGGACTACTACAAAAGCAATATTGTTGACAGCCCTGCCCTTAGATGTGTTACCCATTTGATCTATACTCCATACTACCACCAAAGATTTTTCTAAAACATAGAGCTAATCTCTCATACTAAAAAAGTATTTCAGACTGGGCAGGGTAGTGCACATTTATAATCCCAGCACTTGGGAAGCTGAGGCAGGAGGATTGAGAGCTGTAGTCAGCCTGAGCTACAGAGTAAGAATCTGTCTATTTTAACCAAGGGGCAAAAAACTATTTCATTCTCCCTACCACTACTTTAGATATCTTAGAGTAATACAGGAAGTCTTTCAGTATAAACTCTACCTAGTTTTAACTTCCATCATTTGCCACACTTCTCTTGAATCCTAAACCCCTGCCATATCAACTATTAATTATATCCATGTAAAGGCACTTCCATACCTTTGTACATGCTATTTCCTCAACAAACGCTTTTCCTTCCTATCAAGTGTGTTTAATAAACTCTACTCATACATATTTACAATCCGGTTTCACTGTTTTCCCTTCTCTGCTAAATATTCCTGCATTCATCTAGGTTTCCCCTCTGTATAATATTTGTGTGATTATTTATTCATATTTCTGATTCATTCACTAGACTGTGACTACCCAAAGGTTGGACTATGCTAATTCATCTTTCATTTCTAGTTGCCTAGCCCAGAGTTGATCGTAAATCTTTTTAGTGGAATAATAAGTGATTAAGCACAAATGAAAATGGTAAGTCACTGAAAGTTTTGGAAGGAAATAGATGATGATAAAGCTGTTATAAAAATTATTCTCCTGATAGCACCAAGAATGGAAATGGATAGAGAAATCAATGGTGGAAAATCTATTTAGGGGAGAAATACAGTAAGTAGTTCAGTGGAAGAAATACGGATCAGAAGGACGGTGGCAATAAATAAGAACTAGTTTGAGATCAAGTGACACTTCAAATATTCAAGCCCCAAAGACCAGGAGAACAGGGGTCACAATCAGAGAAAAAGAGAAATAGCTTAAAAGGACATTAAAGTTTGAAAGTAAAGATGAAGGTTACAATTTTGGACATACCTAGAATAGACCTAACCTAGAATATGGTGATTTATTTCACAATCTCCTTATTCCCATATTTCCCTTTCCTACTTCTTTCTTCCTCTGTATTCAGTTCTACCTAGATAGAGGAGGATCTTATTAGTCAAGGAAAACTGGCACTAGGAAAAAAATCACTTAAATGAGCCCCCCAAAATAGAGAAAAAGTTTCATAGCAAAAAGTGAGAAGAAAATTTGCTTTTGTTCATCTTGAAAAATAAAATTAAAATTTATCATAAAGTTTATCTTTTACACATGATAAAATTTAAATCACAACTCCAACCATATGCTTATTTTTTAAATAAACATAGAAAGAATCAAGAATCAAGTGCTTGTTGGTTATAATGCCAAGCTTATGACAGTACAAATTGAAATGCTTAATTTTATATAAATCTTTTAAGTATAATCTTAATCAACTGTATAGAAATTTTAGAGGACTTCAATTCCCACAGGGATCTCTATCAATCCTTTGATATTTACACCAACTTCATTTGAAGGTAAGACTTGCAGAGTTGGTGTCATAAGGGGAAAAACTGAGAATAAATCTAACTTGGCACAAGGGACGTATTTAATCTGTGGTTCATATAAAGCCTAACACGTAAAAACAGTTGATAAATGAAAGATGGCACTTGAAAGATGACACTGATTTCTGATTTATAATTGTAGCAGAAAAATAAAGAACTACGGTATTTTAATTCTAGCAATGCTGGATATACTTACATCAATATTGACAGGTTCTATTGTGTTTATATGCACATTTGGAGCTGACGAGGACCGGTCCCGTTGCCCAAACTGATTGCGATGATCTTCATCTGCTGGTCGGAAGGGCTGTGGAATTGGAATGGATTTTGAAGGAGATGGACTGGTGAGAATTTGGGGCCTGGAAAAATCAAGTCATTGGAAGATAAGAGCATTGGAAGGTTATAGCACTTATATAGAGATAATATCAAAACATGGAAGATACAAAGATTATCTTCTTTAATATAAAAATCTTTAAGTTAGAGCACTGAAATTATTCTAGCATGTTTTATAAAAAGCATTCTTAAACTAAGATACCTACAACTAACTAGTACTGACAAAGCTGCTTTGGTCAAGCAGACCTTCCAGGAGCTAATCAATGATTAAAAACATTGATTGTTACTCAGAAAACTATAGGGGAACCTACAAATGGTTAATCAGATGAAGAAGCTTTAAAGTTATACAAAAATAATTACAGAGACTGACTTAATAAAATCCACTTTTTAAAACTTTGTCATTTCTAGATATCTGAAATTAAGAAAATTAAAATTTTATGGGAAGTATTAGGAAGTAACAGATATTTTTAGGAATATACCTGTGCATTTCAGGACCCGAAAGATGTATCTGCTGCTTTACACTAGAGTTGAATAAAAATTCTGAACAACATCAAAAGATCATTTCCAAATTCAGAAGATGATCTTCATAGTACAAGTATCTTTCACATTTTGAAATTTTTATCATGCCCAATTACTGACACCAGAGAAATAAAAGAATCATATATTAAACATTAAAGCAAGTATTTTTAAAAACTATTTTTTGATTATACCACCATAATAGGGAACAGGGTAATTTATTTTAGTATTGTAGATAAATAATGAAGACTATGATCTAAAAGAATTTAACACTCATAGAGAACACTGAAGTTCTGAGACTAGACTGCAAGCACCTCTAAGGAGTCTATACCCCTCAAACAAAACAACCTTGGGATTAAGGAAGTGAGTATCACTTGGTGGAAGAGATATGGCTCTAACTAAACTTAACAGGACCAGTGAATGATTCAGCACTAACAAGCTATTTTTATGTAATTGGTTATTTCATACCATCTTATGCAAACCCTCCAACTAACCAGCATTATTTACTGGTTATCATGCTAGAAAGACAATGTTGAAGAAATAAAAAGACACTCAATGAGGGGAGAAGGTTTGGAGAAGAATGGTAAGAAAATAATAGGAAGAGGAATGGATAAAGTTTTGAAGAGGAAAGGAAGCTCAACAGTGACAAAAAGACTCTTTAAAGCATGTCAAAAGAATCTGAAGCTCATTATTAAAGATAAGAAAAGAAATTTTGACTTGTATGTTCACATTAACTACAGGAATCCATTTAGAAGTAATATGCAAATAATTATTATGTACTAAAAATTGGTATCACCTCAATTAGAATTATAGGTAAGACTGATTAAACTGGATGGAAAAATTACGTTTCACCTGTGTCTTTTTTATGTTTTCTGATTATTAAGAAATGTTTAGTTTGTGACAGAGCTATCTTTATTCTTGCTTTAGGGAGTCAAATATATGCCCTTTGCTAAGGAATTATGGGAGATATTTTAAAAAGGTTTTGGAAAGTATACTGACAAACTACTTAGAGGCTAACTTAGTTACAGGACAACAGCATAGTTTAAATCAGAACTAAAAACTGGAAAAGAGTCTGAATTAACTAGAACTGTACAGAATAGTCTAACTAATGTAATAATTGACCTGGTAAAAGTAAAGAGGCAGTAAGTCATTCCTGAAACTTACTGAATTAGATCTATGATGGAAATAATGTACTGGATAACAAATCAGAATTATGTATGCAAATACATTGATCCAGAATTAAGAAAAACAAAAATCTGCATTTCATCTGGTAAGTTTCATTCTCCTATCTAAAGAAGGAGAATGGATAGATCAGAAAGTGAGGGTATCTGCCTATTATATTAGTACTAATACTTTCTGAAAGGGAAAATTGTGTCTTGGTCCACAAAGTCAACTTGGCTAGCCATAAAGGCAAGTATATATTACAATTGTGTACAAATACTTCAAGTTGTTATACTCTGATATATTAAATATCTGAACTATACCCTAATTCATGCTTAACAAAACAATTTTCTGGATTGGAAGTATGAACGCAGTGATTCCATGTTTGTAATGCCAGTCACTCAGCAGGCAGAGATCAGGAGGATTGTGGTTCGAGGCCAGCTCTGACAAAACATCAGAGACCCCCATCTCAATGAGTAAAGCTGGGTGTGATGATGTGAGTCTGTCATCCCAGCTACCCAGAAGGCATTAGGTAGGAGGATCATGGTCTAAGTCTGGTCCCAGAAGAAAATGCAAGACCCTATCTGAAAAATACCACAAGCAAAAGGGTTGGGGTGTGGCTCAAGGGGTAGAGCACCTGATTCCCAAGCATGAGGCCATGAGTTCAAACCCCAATACTGCCCCCCCGCCAAAGTTTGGTTTATGTAACTGCTATATTTCCCATTGGAATGATATACTTGGTATTCTCATTTAGTCTGTTCTGACTTTAATTTAATCCAGTATATTCCTAACTCTCATCATCTCTGGGAACTGATAACTTAATTTCCACACTGGGAAATCTTTACCTGGACCAAGGTAATTTATACTCTATGAAGTAGATTGGCACTCATCCAACTGGCTTTCTCTCAATGATTATCTTTTTATTGAGCTTGCTCCAAACATCTTTAAAGCAGTACTAAACTGAAAATAAAAAGAATTTTAACTCAAACACTTTTCAATAAATTACCATTAGTTTAGACCTCATTTTAAAGCTAGAATATTTTAAGATTTATTCAGTGATATGCAATTATTTTTTCTCACAGTGTTGGGGATTGAACCTGGGCCTTTAGTTGGCTAGTTGAGAATTCTACCAGTGAGATACATCCCTAGCTTATGATATGCAAATTTCCAATGCTAACTTTTCCTAAATTTATACATTCTAGAGCATTTTTAAAAAGCAGAAAAGGAGTTATCTTTTACTTTGTACTCAAAATTGGGCAATGTATCACTTCTCCAAAATTTCTAAGTTGTACCCATTATTATATTTGTTTTATGACTATTATAGTTGTCAACAGAACTAGTAACAAAATGCAAAGGAGTTTTTTGGTTTTGTTTTTGCAGTACTGGCATTTGAATTCAGGGCTTAAGCATGACAAGCGGGGACTCTACCACTTAAGTCATGACCCCAGCCTGCAAAGGAGTTTTGATGCTGAACATGACTAACTTTTATTTTTACAGAGATAACCATACACAGTTTGACATAAAAGTATTAAAGATTTATACAGAAGTTTGAACATCTTTCTTATCATTTTCTCAAGACCAGAATCTACTTCAGTTCAGTTATGAATAAATACTTATGGTATAGGCAAAAGGTTTCTTAATTTTAAGACAGCATTCCTTCACTGGAGGGCAAATGTGCTCAATTATTACTGTTATAATCTTTCAGAAAGGCAAAGCTAATTTCATTATGGTATTCTGTAACTCTGCTCACAGAACTGGGACTTGCCAATAGAAAGGCATCATGGTCTACATTTTCAGTCAGGAGAAAATGTCATGGGACCAATTGAAAATGAAACAAAGCTGGGGGTCTGGCTCAAATGGAAAAACTAAAGAAGCTGGACATGGTGGTGCATGTCTGTAATCCTCATGACTTGGAAGGTAGAGGTAGGAGGATTGTGGTCCAAGGCCCACCTGGACAAATATAAGACCCTATCTGAAAACAAAACTAAAAACAAAGGACTGGGGGCCTGGCTCAAGTAGTAAAGTGTTTGCCTAGCAGGGTGAAGCCCTGAGTTCAATCCTCAGTATTACAAATAAATAAATAAGCCAGTAATATTTTGATTTAATTGTCTAAAAAAAACCACACAGCTATATACAACTAATGATAGAGCCAAGAGGAATAAAATGGCTCCACCAGAGGAGGTAAGTGTTACAACCTGAGAAATGAACCTAGTGGTTTTATTTTCTCCTGTTCCAAAGAGATGAATACACTTGCTCATGCTTTAATATAAAATTCTTTTGCTAAGTTTCCTAACCTTCAAGACCTCCAGAAATGCTGGCTTCATAAAAATTACAGGTCTATTTGAAGTGTCAACTTATTTTAACTCTCCAGGATGAAGTAGAACGAACTAGCACCATATTGTGAAGAGTGGGAGGAAGTAGGGTAAAAACTGACAATATTTCTGAACTAAGTATCTTTGAAATATTGTAGAACACAATGCTATATGGGAACTTAAAAAAAAAAACAAAACCTATATGTTTCCAAGACACAGCATAACTATTCCTGCCTTAAATCCAATAGGGAAAGAGTAAGATCTGCATAAAAAATGTTCCAGGGCAAACTAATATCTTAATTATAATTATCATGACTGTCTCTTTTTTGCTACTGTGAACCTTAAATGTATGATGGTTTTGCATTGTTTTTAAAATCATTTCTTTGCTTTATCTTCTAACTTGGCAATACTATTAATTTTTTCTCTTGCATTTTATGGATATCCCTCATTTCTCTGTGCTGCTACCACTCCAGTTCCAATCTTCGTCTTCACCCTACCCTTTCCTTTATCAATCTAACTGTATTTCACTGCTAAGCGATTCTTTCTTTAAAACCATTTTCATCAGGTTAGTAATCTGTTTGAAAACTTGTAATTTTCCCTCCTTCTGGTGTCAGGTAAATACCAGCCTACCTTCCAAGGCTCTCCATAACCTGGTCTCATACAAGTATTTCTCAAGTTACTTCAGCTTCCTTCACTAGCTCCTAAACCTGCTGTCCTCAGTCCTTTTATTTATGCTACTTCTCTGTCCCCTATCATCATGCTTTTATTCCCTAGGATCATTCAGATACTAGTAATCCATTAACCTCTGGTTCAAATTGCATGTTCTTAAGTTTTCCTGAGCATTCTGCCTCAAGTTTCTCTTCTGTAAACGTTCACATTCTTATAAGATAGTTTAATATACCCCATCATAACTTGAACATTATTATTATATACTATTTTAAATTATTTGCCACTGGCTCATATGTTAATACTGCTCCTCTCTCTTGTTAAGTGTCTTATCCTGTAGACTAGCCTGGCCTTGAATTCATCATCCTTCAAAGTCTCTCAAATGCTGGGATTATATCGGTGTTTGCTACCACATCCAGCTAATGCTGCTTTTATAAATGGAAATCATTTATAATATTATCTGTTGCCTGCCTTTTTATCAGGACTGGTCCTCAGTCTAAGACAGCTTGAAACTTTCTGTACTAACTGCATGTAAATATCTGAATGATGTGATACAATATTTGAAAAAAAGTCCTTAAGTTAACAATTTACAGGTTGGAAGGGTTTACAATTAACTAAGAGATTCAAAGGAAGGCAGTTCAAACAGCATGTCACTGAACAGCAGGAGTCAAATCATACCCAATAGAGTCTGAGGGGGGTGCAGAAGGGGATGATCCAGATGTAAGGGCAGTCTCTGCTAAGGAGGCCTCCTCCTGTGGTATTGGATGATGTTCAAAGAACTTGGAGACAAACAGCAAACTGTGAGGCAAAAACAAAACAAAACAAAACAAACCTAACTTGTGCAAAACCCAGAAATCTCAGTACATCAAAATACACAGTTAACGGAAAAATCTGGGATCAAAGTCCAGTTTTGGTAACAATTGTTAAAATATAATCAGTTGTACTTTTGTCTTTAGGCTTATTAAAAATTATGTTGCACTTTCAGAGGCAAGCTCAGAATCTAAAACTAATTGTTCTCTTCAGCAAACTTCTACATATTACAGGGGGAAAATCATGCTCTGATTTTGGTTAAAGAAGAAAAAATATCTAGTGCTAAATTAGTTATATTATTATAATTTGCTTTAAAGTACAGAGTTAAATTCTATTTGCTCAAGTGATCAGGAAAAATAAGACCTTAGCACCAATAACAATAATGACAGAAAGACAGACTACAATAGTTAGTCTATTAGAAAAACTGAAATAAAGCAAAAAGAAATTTTAGAAAGAAACTGAGTACTAAGATTTTATATCTTATGCAAATAAACTGGAAGAAGAGGGATGAAGGTGAAGGAAGAGGAAAACAGAGAGAGAGAGAGAGAGAGAGAGAAAGAAAGACAGACAGACATAGCATAGAAGGAAGGAGAATCAAAACATAATTTACAAAATAGCTGTCAGAAAGATTTCCTCATCTGTGGTCCAAAAATACAATGGTCTACTTAATTGAAATGGTATTCTATGTCTCCTCCCAAAATTATCAAAAGTGATTTCTATGAACAAGAGGTATTTACTAATTAAAAGACAACACAAAATGTAAATTAAATGTACAGCTGATCTAGAATTACAATTTGGGACAGAAGTGCTAGCTGTACAACATGTTAGTCTCTATACTTTAAAAAAAATTCTCTGTAACAACTGTGGTAGGCAGAATACTCCTCATTGACTTTCAAGACAAGCTAGTTTTACATTATGAAAATGTAAAGTAGTAGATAAAAGAGAGGTTCTCTTTGATTACTTACTCAAGTTGGTCATAATTAACACACATCAGTGGAACCTCTGTACTACAACGTTGGTGAAATTTATAACCACATGTCTGACAGCGGAAACCCTGGAAAAGCAGCTTTCGACAAAAGTCACAAAATGCTAAGGTGAAAAAAGTTTTCCGTACCTGCAAAGTAAAAAATCATAGAGGACTTCAAAATCTTGCAAGAATCTTTTTAGAAACCAAAATATTTATTTTCTTATTTAAAATAAAGTTTTAATATATTTATATTATAAAAACTCACATGCAAAAACAGAAAAATGAAAACCAGGGATTCAAATAGTAAACAGTCTACAGATATTTATCTCCCACCACAATATCCAACTTAAAAACTCTGAAGTCAAGATTAAAAGATACAAATAAAAGGAAAAACAGAAACAAATGCAAGAATGGTAACTAATTTCAAGCTTGACAATATAAAAGTCAAAGTAGAAAAGATATTCAATAGAAGAACAGCAGCAGCAACAACAACAAAGTTTGGAGACCAGGAGAGGAACAGAGGGGATATAATGCTACAAATGAGCTAATTCCTAAGGAAACCAGTGTATGATGTCTAAAGTTGATACAGCAGGAAATTGTGGATAAAAGACATTTAGTAATATTAAAACATTTACCCAAAAAACTTAGAAACTATTAAAAATTAACAGTGATTTCTTCAGGAAAGGGGTAAAGGAAGGAACAGGGAAAGAAGGGGAAGAGGGAGGAGAGAATATAAACACAATTTATTAAAACAGGTGACAGAATCAGAACCCCTCACCTGTGGTGTAAAATACAATGGCTAACTTAGTTGAAATTATACCATTTCTTGTAAAAACTATCCCCAAATGATTTCTATAGGCAGGGCTCTTTATTAATTAAAAGAAAATATGAAATATAAATTCAATGTACAGCTGATCTAGACTTACAATTAAGACAAGTGCTGGCTATACTCCACGTGACTCTTACCCACACTATAAAAAAAATTCCCTGCAACACAGTGGACAGAAAATTCACAGCCTTGAAGGCATATTCATTTTACACTGTGAAAGTTTAAATGTAAAATAGTATATAAAAGAGATTTTAAAGGATTACTTCCTCAGGTTGGTCAAAATTAATGCACATAGTGGGAACAATGTCAGTGGGATTTACAATCGCAGTAGAAGCAATCAAGAGGTAGGACAGCAGATCTCTCTGTACTATTTTTTAAATTATACATGTGAACTATTTGGGTAAAAATATGAAAATAATTACTTATAAAAGATAAAGCTGGTTTATAAATATGCTAGGTTCTGCCAAATGCAAAAAACAAAGACTCAAGTAGAGCTCAATACCCAGCTACTCCACTTTCCACTTCCATCACCTTATTCTTCAGAAACATTTACAGAAGTGTGTCAAGATACATGCAGAAAGAGTCTATTTAGCTGTATGTAATACATTTAAAAAACAAATACAGTAACTTAAATGTCTATTAATAGAGGAATGATTAAAGGCACCAAGTTCCCTATTCCTATGGACTATTGTGCAATCATTGCAAGAATAAAGCTAAGTGTATTGATTCAGAATGAAGTCCACCATGTCCTGTTGAATTAAAAAAAAAAAAGATAGGAATATCACAAAGCACAACTCCTTTTTGATTTAAGAAAGGGAAAAAATGGAAACTAATGAAGTGGAGAAAAACGAGAAAGGAGAAAACTTTGGGCTTACAAGTATAAATGTTAAGTTGTGTATACAGAAAAATGTTTGAAAGATTACACAATCATCTACTAATCTAAAGAAATAAAAACACGCTACTAACTATGAAAACACTGATCTCTAGGAGGGTATTTTTACTTTCTTACTTGACAGATTTTTGTACCATGCCAGATTTTTTCTCTTAGTAAGCATGTATTATTTTTTTAAGCTCAAAAAAAGGTTTTAAAGAACAGACCTGTTTTCCAATTTATATAAAAATGGCAATCACAAAGTTATTCGTCCATATTTCATATTCCCTAAATAAAAGTACATTCATAAGAACTTGAACATTTTTGACGTTTCAAAAATATAAAGGTACATACAAAGTTATGTGTTGTAAGTGGAACATTCTCCAACACTTCTACATGCAACTCCTCCCCGGTAAGCCAGGAAATATCAGTGTCCCAGCCAATTGGTTTCTTCTCTCTGAAAAATGTAGGCATAAGCCTTTCTTGGTTATCATCACAAAAAATACTTACATGCCTCATGCTGAAGATGTGAAAATTGGTTATTGAGGGGCTAGTAATGGGGAGGTTTGGCTCCCTTGTCTTCCATCGTTAGAAATTTAAATGGCAATAAATTAATTTTTAAGTTTACCCCAAATAAATGTATCACTCTTGGACAAACAGCAGGGTAAAGAGATGTACTCTTTTCTTCAAGTCAGCTCCAGAAAAGACCTACAACAGCAGAAAATGGATTTTTCCTGGGGTCCAAAAAAAGAAAAAAAAAAATCACAGGTACGGACTTATCTATCCATTCAGAGAAAAAGAGTACTGAAGGGAAAACATGCCGCAACACAGGATTCAAAATGTGGGGTCAAAATCTGGAAGTCTTGGAACAACTTTAAGACATTTTCTAAAAGAAAAATAGTTCAATATAAAATGTTCATTTTGATAAATCTGTGAAACAATGAGTTTGTACCAGAAATAGGGGAGTAGGTTAAGTGTGCATTATTCAAATATTTAAATGGTTTAAAAATTATAAAAACCTAGACTTCAGTAAAGAATAACAAACACTACAGCCATACAAAAGTATCAATATGCTACAAGATTTCTTCAGACTAACTCAGCATTGTATACATATTTTTTCTGAAGTTCTTTTTCAATTCCTTAGGTTTAGGTAAGGGTCCTACAGAAACCCCAAAGTTCAATGTCTGATATTTTTTATTTTAAACAAAATTTTACAACACATACAAACCATACCCATCCTGAATTCTGTAAACAGCGCAGCACTCTGGATAAGACCTCTCATCATCAGTGCTTTCTTTAAACTGTCTCGGACTGTAACTCCACACCTTGCAGGTACCTATGACATCATAAATATATGTAAGAGGTAAAGACGAAACAGATTTTTTTCTTCCAAATTATTTTTTAAAAAAACTTAGTAATATACCTTTATAATATCTTTACCATGTCATATGGATTACTAGGTCAAATACAGCATCATTTCTATAGCTCACTTAATATTAAAGGTAAATTGTAACCCAAGTATCTATTATTTTACCAACTTAAAACAAAATTTATTTATCTTCTGTTAAAATTATGAAGTACCTTACATGTATTAAAAATACAAAATGTGATAGTACCATAATATACCCACCAAAATATTGTACCTACCACTGAGAAATAATATGTTAATATTTAAAGTAAAACCAATTTTGATCCAAAATTGTTCAAAGCTGAAAATCATGCAATCCTTCAATGAATCACAAAGATGTTCCTTAAGAGACACCTTACTGATATCTCTTGGTATATTTTTTGTTCAGTTACCTAGTGTCACTATTTCCTCTGGCAACCTTCTCTAGAAATCCACATGGTACTACAGAGACTATCAATCAGTGATCACTACTTATCTAGCAACAGGTTAGGTAAGTTGGCCAGTCAGTTTCCCATATCCCCAGCAACAGCAACTGGCCCAGGGCTAGATATATGATCCAAACAGTACTAGATTCTTCCCTAAACTGATCCATGGACACTGGTAGTGAGAAGTTTCTGTTTCTACTGTAGTTATAGTACGCCAAGTGAATATAAATCTGGAGCCCCAGAACACTGAGAAAATCTGGTTACAGAATAAAGCTAACACAGGAGGAAGTACAGATGACTCTGGAAGTGGGGAAAGACATGACAAAGGAAAGAGACAGCTATCCCTGTTAGCCTTTTCCATGCCTCATCTCCCCATGCAAATCTGGTGTGGAGTAAAGAGAAGCTATGGGAATACAGCCAGTACAGTTTTTATTTGGGGAGGTGACAGACAGAAAGAGAGGATGTTTTAGTTAATTACAGTAAAAATGCAATACAGTTATTATTAAAAACAGTAATACAATAATTATCCCATTCATTTCAATCACTTTAAAGTACTTGGTAACTCTAAATTTAGAAATTTAATGCCTGAGGTGAATTTAAACATTTTATCGAAAGGGAAACAATCTAAAGGCCTAATTAGAACCTGTGATTAGAAATAACAGGAAGTATATTTTAGTTCAACATCATATGTACCAAGGGAAATACTTGTCATGATGGAGGGGGCTCATCACAAGAAGTATCCAAGAGTTGATGGGATTGGTACATGTGATCTTCATTATGCATGGAGACCATATTAGTGAACGTGTCTATTCACTAAAAGTTATCTGTAGTTCCAAAATCAATACTTTTGTAGCTTTGTGGACATGAAGAGATCAGCGAAAACTCTGTCATTTGATGTACCTTTCTAGCTGAGGTTGAAAGAGGTGACAGTCTGCCTCGTTTCAACTTTCATATGAGTATCCTTTGCACAGTTTGTTTACTACCATGTTTTTCATATTTTTGTTTAAAATTGTTTCCTAGCATAGTGCTGAAGTGCTGTTTAGCATTAAGTGCAAGAAGGCTGGCAGAGAAAGTATACATGTTAGGGAAACTTCCTTCAGGCATGAGACAGTGAGGTCAACCATGAGTTCAATGTTAATGAATCAACATATATTAAGTAAGGTGTCTTTAAGCACAAACACACATAAAACACAGTTATGGCTGATGGAAATGTGACTAAGCATTCACAAGAACCTAAATGCATTTTGAGTTCAAGGGATTTGGGGGCTGATCAAGGAGAAAGATATGACCACAGGGTGGCAGTAGTATATAGAGCTTTATTTGGATGATGCTTTGTTAAGTTTGCTTGCAGTAGAATTTCCTTCCAACAGAGCTACCCAAAGGCTAAGGTTGAGCAACAAGGGGAAAGGGCCCCAGAAAGGGGGTTATATGCCTAGGTAAAGTTGCTCGACAGCCTGGCAGGGAATCTACACATGAAAGAGCTCATAGCACATGATAAAAGCGAGAGCACACAAGGGAGGGGTGAGGATAGGTAAGACACCTAAAAAATTAGCTAGCATTTGTTGCCCTTAACGCAGAGAA